TCGGACGTGGGCTGCTGTGTGGCAAGAGACAGCCCTCTGCGCCACGCCGCCAGCCCCGTGGTCCACAAAGTTAAAAACCACTGTACAAAAGGTCTTCAAAAGCTCATGGGAAATAAAACGTTATAAAAACATTCTACATGGATTCCAAGAGATTGAGTTTAGGCTTTGAGTTCAACTTTCTGTCAACCTTTTGCGGTCTCCTGGGCCCCATTATATCCAGATTGGGAACTTCTCTTGGAAAGACTCCATCCGATAAGGGGCTCCAAACAGAGAACGTTCTGGAAGAAGTATATACAAAATGCTTCTCTGGGAGAAACAAACAAAAAACAAGACTTCTACCAGGAGAAAGCTGAAGGCTCGGTTAGGGAAGCACCCACTAAAACGATGGACAGATCTGATTCACACGCCCACCCCAAAGCACAGGTGCGCCAGTCACCCGCTGCAGGCCACTGACCTGGAGTGAAAGCCCAGCGTGTGGCGTCCAAGACGGCCGCGCCAAGTCCTGGCAGGGAGGAAGGCCGCTCTCAGGCACTGCCGCGGAAGAGGCGGCGGAAACCAGCGCTGTTTGCTAGGGAGGTTCGGACACACCTGGGGAGGCCAGGCTACGCCCATCCCCCCTGCTCACGGCAGCCTCACCTGCTGTTACTAACCCCGCGTCAGCCAGCAGTGAGCGCGCAGGTGATGGTGACCTTCCCAGAGGAAGCAGCCACTGGGCAACACGCCGGCAAGGTGCGCTCCAGAACACACGTGCTGGCGGGAGACGTCGAGAGAGAGGGCACCTCCCGTCGCAGTCCACCCACCCAGAGAGGACGCAGGCTGGCTGCGGGGACGGCGAGCAGTCGGGGGGTGCCGGGGTCGGCCAGCGGGGAACTTCTGGGGTGAGAGGCGTGTGTGTCCGGCTGGACTGGGGTGAGACTCTCACCAAGAACCGCTCTGCAAAACCAGCTCAGGGCCAGGTGTCACGTGCGCGTGCTCCGGTGTGTCAGTGATGCCGCAAGAGACCGGCGCCCCCCCCCCAGCCACCGGGTGCACGGGCGGTGCTTGCCGCTCACGGTCACTACCTGCTTCCCCAGCACAGGTGTTGGCGTGCCGGGCCGGCCAGGTGAGGACAAGTGCAGGTGTGATCAGCAGGGCTCCTTGACTCAGGTCAGCTGGGGGCGGCCACGTCCAGCTCCCAGCGTGGAAGACACTTCGCAAGGCAGCCATAAGGGAGACGGGAAGCCGTCGGCCCTGGCGCGTCCCTGGTGAGCTGCCGGGTTTTTCTGGCACCTCCTCACACTCAGGACAGCGTCCTGCTTGGGTCCACGTGGCCGGCAGCACTGGGGCAGTGGCCCCGGTGAGCAGGGCGCAGCAGACAGTGCAACGCGCTCCGCAAGACGCACCTGGGGGAGGGGCTCGGTGCACCACACACCGTGCAGGTCCCGAAGCTCACTGGGGTTCCAGGGGCCCGGCAGGCCCACCACGCGGGGGTGCACTCGAGTGGCAGGTGCTGCCGCCGCCCTCGGCTCTCCCGGAGTCCCTGCCCAGGAGACCCCTGCCACCCTGCCTCCCTCACCCAAAGTAAAGCAAGGCTGCCGAGGCTCCGCCCCTTGCTCCGCCCACTTCTACAGGTGCCTCCTCCCTGAGTCAGCTGCAGGCCCTTAGCCTCGGCCACCTTCCTGGCCAGGAGTGGGTGAGGGGCCTCCTTGGGGTCCATCTCGAGGGCACATGGCTCCAGGTGGGCCCGGCGCCCTCACTTGGCGTGTGAGCACAGGCAGCGTTTGCTGGCGTGACCGGCCGTTTGCTCCCCGGCTTTCGGATCCATGCAGAGACCAGGGCCCTCGTGCTGTGGCCGTCCCAGCAATACCGTCCTCGCTGTGCGATTTTTTAAGAACGCTTCCTAACAGGACTCTGACATTGCTGAGTGACTGTTGCCAGCGTCCGTGTTTCGCCGCCGTACAGCGTGAGCCGTGTTGCTGGCAAAGCTGCCGGTTCTGCGGACACCGCCTCCTCTCTTGCTGGGACCTCGGCAGTCCCAGCCGGTGTGCAGCTGCAGAGCAGACCCAGTGTGCGAGTGCCGCGCCCAAGAACGGCCGTGGGGGAAGCAGGGGCAGTCCCCGTGGCTGTAACCGCTCCAGACCCGCCCCAGCGTCCAGCTCGCCCTTGTGTGCACACAGGTCGCCGGCTGTGTCCCTCACACTCAGCCGTGAACCCTCCCCCACCAGACTGCCGTCTCGGGACGGGAGACTCCCAGGCCTGCAGCAGAGCCTGGGTGCTGTGCTTGTCGGAGCTCCAGGGCAAAGCCAGCCCTCGGCATAGTGGCTCTGAGCCCTGCGTCCCAGAGACAGCCACCTCGGCCCCGAGAGAGAGAAGCCTCTGACCCAGCACGTCAGAGCCACAGCAGGGGCACAGACACGGTGGGACCTGACCTGCCCTCACGGGGACGGGGAAGCCCCACGGGTGCTGCCGAGGCGGTCCCAGTCCCAGCCCGAGGGCCCAGGACCCAGGCAGCGGCCGGCGTGAGCCACGCTCCGAGTCCGAACCCAGAGACAGCTCAGAGACAGGAAATTCTCGCCGGGCCTCGGCTTCCCTCCAGGCCCGTCCCACTGGGGAGAGGGCGTCTCCCGGCCACCCACGCCCTGCTGCTTTCCCTGACGCCCAGGGAGCCTCTGTCACCCGAGGCCCGCCCCAGGGGCACACATTTGCCACTGCCCACCCAGCTCCTGCTGGGCTCTCCAGGGCCTGTGGAGCCGCCTGGGGCCTGAGGCCCAGCAACGAATGACCCAGGCCCAGGCCGATGACCACACCCAGGCTGGCCGACATCCAGGGCAAGCCTTCCTTTCGGAAAACATCTTCCACTGGGCTTCAAGGGACACAGGGCACTGCACGCTTCTGACTGTGGGTGCCCAGGGTCCCCCGCAGGGGTCCCATGGAGGCCAGTGGCCGTCCCTGGCAACCCGGCCACTGGCTGATGCAGCAGGTGACCAGGACCACGCCGCTACTACCCAGGGCTCCCCTTGGGTGGGGCCTCTCAGACCCACGTCCCGCCAGTCTCCTCCTGTCCCTCCACGTGGTCCTGCCTCCATCCGCCTCTCCACTCACGCCAAGCCCGGGCTCTGCGTCCTGGGACCCAGCCGACAGCGTGGCTGTCCCTCGTCCCTGCTGGTGCTCCACCTGGATGCCTGCACCCACTCAGTAAAGGCAATTCTGGGGGACGGCAGCCTCTCCCCAGCCCTGGCGCCCCCACGTCCAACACCATGGCACGGGACCAACCTGAGTGGAAGGACGCCACGCCCCCCACCATCCTAGGCACTGGCCTGGGCAGCCCTCAGAGCTCAGGGCAGAGGGCATATGGGGATGGGTCTCGACAGACGCCCCCAGGAGCTTGCCCCGGGCTGCAGCACGCACCACACGGGTAGCTGAACGTGCTCCGTGTCACTTGGCTGCAAGGTGACCACCGGGTCCAGTGCCACCAGCAGCACCCCAGGCGCCTCCGGCTCGCCTCCTAAGCAGCTCTGCCCCGCCTCTGCCCCCCGGCCCCCCACCCCAGGCGGTTCACCGCAATGCCCCGCCTCTGCCCCCCGGCCCCCACCCGGGCGGTCACCGCAATGCCCTGCCTCTGCCCCCCGGCCCCCACCCCGGGCGTTCACCGCAGTGTCCCTGCCTCCGCCCCCCGGCCCCCACCCCGGGCGGTTCACCGGCAGTGTCCCTGCCTCAGCCCCCCGGCCCCCACCCGGGCGGTTCACCGCAGTGTTCCCTGCCTCCGCCCCCCGGCCCCCCCCCGGGCGGTTCACCGCAGTGTCCCTGCCTCCGCCCCCCGGCCCCCACCCCGGGCGGCTCACCGCAGTGCCCCTGCCTCTGCCCTCCGGCCCCCACCCCGGGCAGTTCACCACAGTGCCCCGCCTCTGCCCCCCAGCCCCCACCCTGGGCGGCTCACCGCAGTGTCCCGCCTCCGCCCTCCAGCACCTGTGTCTGGGGCAGAGCCAAAGGCCAGCCAGAATGGCAGGGCTCAGGCCAGGACTGCAAGGGCCCGGCCTCCAGGGCCAGGTGCTGAGAGCCCCCACAGCTGTGTTCCAGGGAGGCAGCAGGTGCACCCCCAAGCCGGCCCAGGGGCCTCCGGTGTCGCGTCCAGGGCTCCCCACCTGCCCGTCTCAGAAGGGCGCAGCTGGTGGTGCTGTTCCCCGGCTGAGGCTGACGGTGGGGGTGCCCCCCACCCCCGCCTCCGAGGCCGTCACAGCCCACAGCCTTGCGCCAAACCCCACGGGAGCAGAATTCCCCAGAAGCCTGCCCCATCCTCGGTGCGTGAGGCCACATCCACAGACGGAGTCGTGTGGGGACTGTGAGGAGTGGGAGCCTGGGACGCTGCCCCCACCCCTATGAACCCGGCACCAACGCCTGGGCCAGCCCAGGGCCAGGCGAGGGGCAGCAAGGCACCTGTGAGACCCCCAGAGCAGGCCCCGCCCCGGCCCTTGGAGTTCCAACTGGAAACAAGTGAGGGGCTTCCCTTGCTGGGGGGGGCGTGTGTGGTCCACCTGCCCTGCTGGCTTGTGTGGGGCCTCCAGCTGTGGGCACGGGAGCCTGCCCCCCCCCAAGAATCCACAGCTCTGGGGGGGCTTCCCTTGTTGGGGGGGCTTGTGTGGGGGTCTCCAGCTGTGGGCACGGGAGCCCCCCCCCCGAGAATCCACAGCTCTGAGGGAACAAGACCCGGTGACCCCGACGGCGCCCCCGTAGGTGGTGTACACTCACGGGAGCTCTCGCCGGCCCCCAGGAGACAGCGGTGGAGGACCTGGGGTGAGGGGCGTGGCACTGCCCACTGCTCCTGGCCAGGGCTCACCAAGGCTGGGGGCCTGGAGGCCGAGAGCCTGGCTGGGCAGGTGGGACCGTTCCCAGAGAAGCAGGGGCGCAGGTGCCACCATGCCAGCAGCCGCGGGGCCGACAGCAGCGCTGAGCGCGCCACGGAAGCCTGGAGACCCCGTGCTCGCCCGAGAGACACATCAGCTGAGGAGCCGGGAGGCGAGAAGCAATTTTCAAAATACATTTATTTTCTTCTCGTGGGGCAGTCACTTGCTCACATCCCCTAGCGGCGGTCCCAGCCAGGGTTGGGGGGGCTCCCAGCAGCCCGCACCCCTTCCCGCACCTCATTCCTCAGTCTCCTCGGCTTCTGAGATGGTAAAGGTAGCTAAGCAAGGAAAAACAAGGAGAAACATTTTTCCCCCAAGTGGAGTTTGCAGTGACCTCGGGAGAGGACCTCGGGCTCTGGGAACCCATCGTGGTGCGGCGTCCCGATGGTGAGTTATCTGCTCAGAACCGGCGGCCCCCACGCTGTGGCCCCTGGACAGGCCAACCCCGCCCCCCAGGAAGGTCCCACAGAGACAGGCTAGGGCCAGGCCGCCCGGGTCCCCGTGGGGTCGCCCGGCAGTGCCACACTGGACCCCTGGTTTCCCCAGGCGCTGCTGGGCTATCTCACGCTCGCTCTCCCGGGTCTAACCACCACTCCCACAGGCCCTGGAGCAGGGAGGTGGGGCTCCGAGCGCAGCACAGCCCTGCAGCGCCCCGCCCCGGAACATGGTGCCATGTACAAGGTCTGCCCCAGCCGGAGAGCAGAGCCCTCCCCAGGGAGCCCAAGCGGAGGCCACAGTCCTGGCTCTGCTCGGAAGGTCCCTTGGGGCTGCTGAGCACCTGCGGTCAGGGGGCCCGAGGGAGGAAGGCTGGGGCCTCTCCATACCTCCTTCCTCGCTCTTCTTGGAGGGCTCATCGCTCACGGGCGGGGCCTCCACTTCGCTGACGGACGGGGGCGGCTCGGGCTTCTCGCTGGACTCGGACATCAGCGTGACTTCCGCGGAAGACTTCTTCTCCCTCCTGCTCTCCTGAACAACTCTGACAGGCGGAGAGACTTCATCACGGCCCGGGAAGCTAAAGTCGGACAACCCTGGGGCCCGTGCTCGGGGACGGCGCTCCAGAGACGGCCTCTGGGACGTGCACGCATCCTTTTAGGTCGATGCTGCGCCTAGGGGCTCCCATCTCGGGCCAGCACCGTGGTGCGGCGGGTTAAGCTGCCGCCTGCAGCGCCAGCGTCCCCTGTGGGCGCCAGGTTGAGTCCCGGCTGCTCCACTTCCGATCCAGCTCCCCGCTAATGCGCCTGGGAAAGCAGCGGAAGACGGCCCACGTGCTTGAGCCCCTGCCACTGACGTGGGAGACCTGGATGGCCTCAGCCTGTCCCACATCTGGCTGTTGCGGCCCACTTGGTGAGTGAACCAGCAGATGGGAGATCTCTCTCTCCCCTTCTCTCCATAACTCCGCCATTCCAATAAATAAAATAATACGGGGGTGGGGGTGGCTCTCGTCTTACTTTCTTACGTCCACTCCAGTGTTCTGTCTGTGGCCTCCCGACTCCCAAAGACAAAAGCAGCGCCAGCCACATCCACTCACGCAGCCCTGCGCTCAGAATGTGGCTGGGCTCCGGGGACAACCTGGGCCTCGGCTGGGCCCAACACCCCCCGCCCTGTGGGCTGTGGGCCCTCCTTGGTGCTGGTGTCAGTCACCGCGGGACAGGACAGGGCACCACGGTCCCTGCCCTGCCGTGCCCGTGGGGGCTCCGGGTGTGCGCTAAGTGCCGGCTGGAACTTTGCAGGCAGTGCTGGAGGGAGTGCAGGGCCCCAGGGTGCAGAGGAGCCCCCCCCCCCCCAGCACCTGCCCTTGACCCGCCCAGGACCCACCTGTAAATAATGGTGATGATGAAGGCCCCGGCGATGATGACGATCAGGGCGGAGAACACCTGGACGTAAACTGAAACGCGGGCTCACTGGGCCGCAGTCCCGAGGACCAGGCCGGCTCAGAAGTGAGAACAGGGGAGCCCTGCGGGGACAGGCGCGCGCCCGCCACCCCAGGGTCGCCTGTCTCCAGGAGCACTTCACACTCCCAAGTCACCCAGGGGCCAGGGACTGGGAGCGGCATGCCCTGGAGAGAGGCGCTCTCTGCAAACCTGGTGCTGGGTCCCTCAGGGCCCCATGGGCTTGCTCTGCCCCACCCACCCAAGGCCCCGCCCCCAGTGGCAGGCCCCGCCCCAGCCCCCTCCAGGGGCTCTCAGCTCTGCCTACTCTCGGGCTTGGCCGAACAGCGTCCTCCTCCCTGCCCCCTTGACACCTGCAGGCCCGAGCCCCAGAGTCCAGGCCTCTGGGCTCCCGAGCGCCGAGGCCGGGGGCTCAGCCTTTGTGAATACCCACTCCAGCAAGTTCTCCACCAGCCCATGGCGCACGGGAACCCCGTGGCCGTCCCCGTGGTCATCGCCGACAGGACCCAGCCCCGCAGGGCAGCCGAGCCCCGGCCGCAGGGCACACAGCCTGCCGGGCCGGCGGGCCGGGTTCTAACTACAGCCGGGCTCCTGGACTCCACCCCGGTCCCAGAGCCTTCTCGTGGGGGCAGAAGCCACCCAGCTCCTGACGGAAACACCCAGGGAGCCATGGCTCCACCACGGGTGCTCCTCAGGCAGAGGCTGCAGTGGAGACCTGGGCTGGGCCCGAGCAAACGAGGAAGCTTCTCGCTGTCCCCTCTGTGCCCTCATTTCCTGCCATCACGGCTCTCCCGGGGGGGGGGGGGGCGGCTGCCCCACGGAGGCAGGGGCAGAAACCGGTTTCCAACACGGCCTCCCAGGCTCCCTCCTCCTGGCGTCTACACCCTGGGGACGCCGCTCCCTCTGTGAGCAAGGCTGACTCCTGGAACCCACGCGGCAGCGGTGGGAGGAAGCGACCCCGGCCGGGTCAGGACACCCGCAGCGTCCGCTCTGCTGCTCCTTGGACGTCCTGCCCCGAGGAAGACGGGCGCCGAGTCCCCAGGTCACTCAAGCCGCCCTCGGCGCCAGGGAAAGCTGCAGCCTCCTGATGTCCGCACCAATCCGCGGTCCAGCGCCTGGGGCCGCGGCCTCCGGAGGGGACGCCGGACTGCAGGGCCCTGAGACTCGAGCGCTGCCCCTCCCCCTGGCTAAGCGGGGCTCGCTCCTTTGAGCCGCTGAGGTCTGGGGTGGGGCGTTCCCCGGCACGGAGATGGTGAGCGTGTGCGTTCAGGGCCACGTGTGAGTGCCACACGCGTGCTCAGTGAATGCCCTCGACCGTCGGCATGCCTGCCACGCTCTCATCGTTAGGGCAGCTCTGGATCTCGGCATCTGGGGGAGCCCACGCGTTGCAACCACAGCTCACAAACCCCACATCACGACACACCTTTCAGAGCGCGTGGCCGTCGAAGGAGAGCATTGTTTCTTTAAGGAATGTCTGGGTAAGTTCCCGAGTGGGGGAGTGTGGGAGCCGTCTCAGCAAGCTCAAGTCAAGCTCTCAGGACCAGCCCCAGTCAGGACGGAAGAAGGCAGGCACGCCTCGCCCCCCGAACCCGCGACTCCTGGAAGGCCCCAGGCTGATTCCTCACATTCACCTCCTTAATGACACGGATTATGCCACAGCGCGACGTGCGCGCCAAGCCAGCCATTCACGGAGCTGCTGGGAGGTCCCGTAACATGGAATTAAGTGCACAGAGCACTAACACCCGTCACTCGCCCGACCTGCCCAGCGCCAGCCTCCCTCGCCATCCCCAGCGAGAACGGAGTCGGCACGCAGGGCGGGGCCCCAAACACGGGCCAGCTGCCCGGCCCGGAGGAAGTCACAGCAGAGCTCAGCCAGGCAGCGAGTGGCCCGCACGTGGCAGCACTCCCAGCCACGGGGCCTCCTGACCGGCACGGGGAGGCTGGGGACGAGTGGTTGGGGGCCCTGTCTGTGAGGGCTGCAGCCTGGCCGGGGAGACACAGGGGCCCCTGGGCCACGGGCACCAGGGACGCACACGGAGGGGCAGCTGCGCTCCGGCCCCTGCCGCCAGGCTCTGCCGAGGCCCCACTGCCCTCCCCCACCCCACGATGCCCCCAGGCCGGAGGGACTGGGGTGCACTCTCGAGGCTCTCAGTCACCCTCAGGGTCCTTGGCTGGATGGCAGCCCTGTCCTGGTGGCCAGCAGTGACCCTGTCACGGCAGCTGTGGCTATGGTGCTGTGTCCTCACACCCAGGCTCCTACAGGGCGCTGGGACGACCGGATTCTTCCAGAAGGAGGGAGGCCGAGCAGTGCCCCTCCGCGGCAGGTCTGCGGGCCCTGGGACGGCCTTGGCACGTGCCAGGCCCGCGGGGTCACACCCACGCCCAGCCTTCTGCGCCGCCCGTGGTACTCACCGGGGACCGCCTTCTCATAGCAGACGCCTTTGTAAAAGCAGCAGCCCAGCTCCTTGCAGCGGTCCCTGGACACATTGTAGTCACAGATGTCGTACAGGGGGATGTCACACACTGCGGGGACAGACACACGGAGCTCGTGTCCCACAGGGCCTGCGGGACACGTGGAGCTCACACAGACCCCACAGGGCCTGCAGGACACGTGGAGCTCCCACAGACCCCGCAGGACACGCGCAGCTCACACGGACCCCACAGGACACGCGCAGTTCCCACAGACCCCACAGGACACGCGCAGCTCACACGGACCCCGCAGGAACACATGGAGCTCCCACAGACCCCGCAGGATACGCGGAGCTCCCACAGACCCCGTGGGACACACGGAGCTCCCACAGACCCCACAGGACATGCACAGCTCACACGGACCCCACAGGACACACGCAGTTCCCACAGACCCCACAGGACACGCGCAGCTCCCACAGACCCCACAGGACACGCGCAGCTCCCACAGACCCCACAGGACATGCACAGCTCACACGGACCCCACGGGATACGCAGAGCTCCCACAGACCCCACAGGACACGCGCAGTTCCCACAGACCCCACAGGACACGCGCAGCTCCCACAGACCCCACAGGACACACGCAGTTCCCACAGACCCCACAGGACACGCGCAGTTCCCACAGACCCCGCAGGATACGCGGAGCTCCCACAGACCCCACAGGACACACGGAGCTCCCACAGACCCCACAGGACACGTGGAGCTCACACAGACCCCACAGGACACGCGCAGTTCCCACAGACCCCACAGGACACACGCAGCTCACACGGACCCCGCAGGAACACATGGAGCTCCCACAGACCCCGCAGGATACGCGGAGCTCCCACAGACCCCACAGGACACACGGAGCTCCCACAGACCCCACAGGACACGCGCAGCTCCCACAGACCCCACAGGACACGCGCAGCTCCCACGGACCCCGCGGAACACATGGAGCTCCCACAGACCCTGCAGGACACATGGAGCTCCCACAGACCCCACAGGACATGCGCAGTTCACACGGACCCCGCAGGCACACGCAGCTCCCACAGACCGCGAGGGACATGCACAGCTCACACGGACCCATGGGACACGTGGAACTCCCACGGACCCTGCGGGACACACAGAGCTCCCACGGACACCAAGGAGACATATGGAGCTCACACAGACCCCACGGGATACATGGAACTCCCAGAGACTCCGTGGGGACACGCGGAGCTGCTACGGACACCACGGGACAGACACAGGGAGCTCCCGTTCTGCTGGTCACACTGGCTGTGAACCCGAATTAAATCTCTAACAAGACCCCAGGGGCTCATCGCCCAGAGCGAGGCAGGGTCCCCGGTGACTGGGTAGGGGCGCTGCCCGGCCGCCACACTCTGCAGGGAGCCGAGGGCTGGGCCGGGGCCGCTCGCAGGTTGTGCTGTGGGCCCAGTTCCCACTCGGTGTGCAGCGCGGGAACTGATCCGTGTGCCTGGGCATCGCTTCAGGGTTTTGAAAGTGGGACTCAAATGACCCAAGGTTTAACCCGGTTCTGCCGCCTCCCAACCAGGGGGGGGAGACTGCAGGCTTGGCCGAGCTCTGCGGAAGACGGGGCGGGGGGGTGGGGGCGGGGGGGGGCAGGGCCAGGACGGGGCCAGAGCCGTCTGGGGGCCAAGTTCAATGGCCTAGTCCCGTCTCGGCTGCAGGCGCTGAGCCCTTCGTGGCTTCGTGGGCAGCAGGCAACCGAGCGAGGGAGCCGCGTAAGGCTGAGAGCGGGGGTGGCAGAGCCGCACGCCGGTGGCATCCCCGCAGCCCCCTGCCCTCCAGAGCCGGCGTCTCCTTACCTCCCTCTGTATCTGCTCAGGACACACGTGCAGGAGCAGAGAAGACAAAGAGAGGTCAAGTCCCACATGCTCTGTGGCATCACACCCCCAGGCAGAGGGAAGCCCCGCCCCCGCCCGGACTCGCCCACCTTGCGTGGTTTTCAGGGGCCACCGTGTGGTAGGGGCGGCCAGCACGCCTCCTCCCATCGAAGGGGTCGGCGCTCGGCTATGCCAGGGTTCCCAGGTCCAACCTCCCCACAGGGACAGCTCCGTAAGACGGGACGGGAGAGGCACCCACAGGCCAGACCCTGGCCTGCGCATTCCCCAGAATGGCCAGCCCCAGGGTTCCGCTGTGGCATTGTGACCGCATCACAGGGGTTCTGAGGACAGCACCCGGCCTGTGTGAGCTCGGGCGCTCTGAGCACACCATCGCCGCAGGAAAGGAGCCCTCACCGGGGGTTCCTGGAGCAGGCGCACTCCAGCAAACGCGCCTAAAAGCTCCCAGGTGTGACCGGGGGCACCGCAAAGCCCGAGCCATGCAGCCACAGACACTGCTGGGCTCATGGCCCCCGCCTGGCTCCCCGCTCCCTGCTGCCTACAACCCCGGCCCACGAGCCTCCTGGGTGTCAGGAACCACATAAAACTCCTGAAACCCAATGCATCTGGCACTGGGGTCAGGAGGGGCCTCTCCCCCACGCCCTGCCCAGCACTGGAGCCATGGGGACAAAGAGAAGGTGGGAGGACGGGCAGCGGCGGAAAGGGGGCCACCGCCACTGGGGGAGGCTGGGGCCACGTGCCAGGCGGTCCAGGGAGGGCTCCCACACGTGCGCCAGGCTGGTGACGGGCTTGGTGGGGCTCGCCCATGAGGCTCGTGGCGTGCTGGGGTTATACACCGGGCTCATGGCAGATTTACAAGGGGCTTAGCCATGTGTGCGATGTTCACGTGCTCAGGAGGCGCTCACACACACGTGCAAGCTCCGTGGGCGGCCACTTTTAAGTCTGGAGTTGGCTTTTGACCCTGAAATTCGGGCCTCGGAGGCCCCAGGGCGGGGACTCAGGAGCTGGGGACAGAGCGTGCGGAGGGCGTACTGCCCAGTACCACCCCAGCGCAGGGGTGAGAGGAGCAGGCCCCGCCCTCCCCACAAGCCCTGACAAGGAGCATGGCGGCCGTGCCAGGTACTTTCACATAGTCGGGCCCTCGCCGGGGAGCCGGCACCAGTCTCGGATCCCCCAGCCAACAAGGGACTGGTGCGGGCCAACAGGCTGACACCCCAGACACACGCCGTGGCCCTGGCTGGCCACAGCCGGCTCTCTTCCAGGGTGGTCCTGTCTGCACTCCCTCACCTGTCCATTCCTCACTCACAGGACCCAGCCCGCCTCCACGGGCATCAGAGCTGGGGAGAGCGTGGGCAGCTGCGGGGGCACGAGCACAGAGGTGCCACCAGGGCTGCGTGGGCGGGCAGGGGTGCAGAGGGCGAGGATGGGGCTGTGCCCGCGTGAGACACAGAGGCCGGAGCCCAGGCAGGGAACCTGCCAAGCCAGCACCTGCCGGAGCCCTTCAGTCTCCGAGGAGCCTCGTGAGGATGGACGGCACAGGGGGACAGACGAGAGGCTAGACCCGCAGGCACAAGGCCCCCGGGGGCTGGCTGGGCTCTGCCCACCCCAGCGACCCAGGCCCCCGACAGCACACACACGTGTGAGCCGGCCCTCAGCCCAGCTGTGTCCGCTCAGTGAGGCAACACGGAGCGGCTGCAGTCCGGGGCAGCTCCGCCAGCTCCGTCCCGCTGTGCGTTTGCCACCCGACCAGACGCACGGCCCCAAACGGGCAGCACGCAGGAGCACCACGGATCAGAACCAGGAGGCTCACACAGACCCCGCAGGACACACGGAGCTCCCACAGACCCCACAGGGCCCCGCAGCGGGGTCTGTGGGAGCTCGGGCAGGGCCCTGGCTCACCAGATGCACCTGAGATGTTCTCCTCGCCCTGGCCCACGCCCCTGCACCTGCTCACCCCGGGCCAGCCCCCTGCAGCCCCAACTCGCCATCCCAGAGCTGGGCGGCAGCGCCCTCCGTCCCAGCCCAGGACCCCGGGGCCGAGGCCACCTGTTGACAGCCCCTGGTGCTCCCAGCCCCGAGGCGGGGCCCACAGGCTCTGACAATGAGCTTCTCTCTCCCCACATCTGCCACGGCTACTGGCCACCCCCCGGGGGACCAGAGGGGCCGCTCCCAGGCCCTCTCTGCAGCTCCTCGGCCACCCCCTCGTCCCAGCCCCATGCTGTGTGCTCTGGAACCGGAGCACAAACGTCCCCCCTGGGGGTCTTGAGCCCAGGAAGGCACCTGCTGCCTTGCGAGGGGCCCCGCGCACGGGAGCGAGGGGTTCCCGAGTAGCAGGTGCCTGTGCGGCCGGAGCCGGCACTGCACGTGCCTGGGGACTGAGAACCTCCCCGCCCCTTGGGTGGGAAGACATCCTGTTTCCCACAGTTCCCCTCGAGCCCACACTGGGAGCAGGGGCAGCGTCCCCACTGAGAACCGTTTCCCTTCAGGAGGAGAAGGCGACTTGGGAAGAGGCTCTGCTCCCACCCCGGGAGAGAAGCGAAGTCGGCCTTGGTGCTCGGCCGGCGCTTCTGAGAAAGACAGCGAAGCTCTCCAGCGCTGGGATTCCCATGCCTGCCCCCCCCCCCCCCCCCGCTGTGGGCAGGCTGGGAGAGGACGGCGATGCCCCCCTGCCCCCCCCGCCCCCCCCCGCCCCCGCGGCATCGCCAGTCACCTGCAAACTTCTTGAGCAGGTGCGGCGGTGACTTCTTTATCTCCGGGGCGTACCTCATCGCGGCGGCTGAGGGGGGCCCCAGCTCAGGCGGATCTGGAAAACAAACACAGGCGTGCGGGGCTGCGGGCATGGCCAAGGGTGGGCCTGGCCAGGGCACCCCCTCCCGCCCTCCAGCCCACCTGCACATCTGCTGCCCTGCTGGGTCTTCCTCTCAGTCAAATCCCAAGCAGGGAACGAGTCTGATAAAACCAGAAACTGGCTACCTCCTGCCAGCCCCAGCCACGGCTCAGGGCCAGCGCAGCAGTGCCAGGGCCCTGCCTGCTATGACGTCACACAGCCCCGTGAAGTCACGTGACGTCACAGAGGGCTGGGGGAGAGGCCCTCCCAGCCCGAGTCCCCAAGGGCCAGCTTGCCTTCAGGCCCCAGCCTCTGAAATCTCTGTGCCGTTTCTCCAGCTGCCCCTGGGAGGGGATGGTGAACAGAACAGGGTAGGGGCCACAGCAGACAAGCCCGGGGCCCATCTGCAGATGCTGGGAGAAAGCTGAGGCTTGGAGTTGGCCAGGGAGCAGGGCGCAGGTCATGCATGGGGGAGGCGTGTCCCAGGCGGTGGGGGCAGTGGGTGCTGGGGGCCGGGGCTGGGGCTGGCAGAGGAGGCCCGTGGTGCCTGAGTGAGGAGGCAGCAACCCAATGGGCACTGCCCAGACTTGGGCCTCCGCTCAGAGCACAGCCGGGAGCTGCAAGGGGTTTTAGGAGGAGTCATGCTTACCAGCACCACTGCGGCTGCGCGGAGGAACCCCCTGAGCAGGAGGAGCGGCGTCGGCACAGTCCAGGGCAAGGCCGGGGCAGCCAGGACCAGGGGACAGCAGCCAACGCTTGCTGTCTGTTGTGCGGGGGGTGGCTGGCTGGCTCACAGACGGGCGTGGGGAGAGAGCGAGCCGGCAGTGAGCCCAACGGGCCAGGAGCCTGGGGCTGTGTGCCGCAGGGGGACACGGATGTCCGAGCACGCGTGCCAGGTGGACGGGTCATCCATTCCCATCCCCGGCTGAGGGCTGAGGGCTGAGGGCTGCGCTGGGTGGTAGCTGGTCTGGAAGCCGGCGGCAGGGGGCAGAGCAGAGACTCGAGGGGACGAGCTGGCCCTGGTGCTGCACGAGCTGAGAGGCCGTGTGGCGGCTGAGCCGGCACCACGTGGGGTGACCCGGGTGCCAGCCACATGACAGTGAGGAAGCAGAGGAGCGGAGGGGACAAGGTCGGCGTGGCTGGGAGGGGCAAGGGTGCAGCTACCCAGCCGAGCTCTGACGTCCTGGTCAGAGGCACAGCTGTGAGGCGAGGCTGGCCCTCATGGCTGCTTGCTGATTTGTCCACTGCCACATTTGCAGGACGCTGAGACAAAGGGCAGGAGCACCTCAGTCAACCAGGGGAGGGTGACCGCACTGACGGACAGTGGGGGGGGGTGACGTCCTGGGGGCAGGAGAGGAGAGGAAGTGCCAAGTCCCTCCGGGTATGCACAGCCGGACACAGCGAGCTGATGGGACAGTGGCAGTCGGCGTGGGGCCCTGGGCGTGGGGTGAGGACCAGGTCCAGGCCACGATTCTCAGGGGGGTTCCCTCAGCCACAGCCGGGATGCGGACGCTCGCCCAGACGCAGGGTGTCTGGTAGCCAGGGTGACTGGCGATCCAGCGACAACACAGCTCTCCGATACACAGTCTCATTCAGAGTTTCCAGGGGAATCCAGACTGTGAGTGACACCTGCCTCCCCTGACACCAAAGACCAAAGCTGCGACTCGGGTCTGAGGTCACCTCCCAGCACCTGCTGCTTCCGCCCAGCCGAAGGGGCCTCCCTTCCACAGAGCCGAGGGCCCTGGGCCTGGCCGTCGGGCCACCTGGCCAGGACCTCAGAAGCTCAGCTGGCCTCCGTGCACAGTTCTCCCTCAGGGTTCAGGACCCCTCGGATGCCAGCATTGCTTTGTGTAAGCTGGCGCGAGCTGGCCTGGAGCCCAGGGCCAGCGCCCCTCTCTAGCTCACCTGTGGATGGCTCGGAGTCCCCAGCCCTGTCCACTGTGGCTGGATGTGCACATGAGGAACAGCCCTGGCCCCAGGCCACAAACAGAAGCAACACCTCAGACGGGGCAGCAGTGGCATCCTGGGAGACAGCGTCCCCAGGGTCAGGGCTGACCGGAGCCAGGCACGAGGCAGCCCCAGGCCTGCGCGCTGCACGCCGCCCTCCCAGGGTCCCGAGGGGCCCTCTGGCCACCTGGAGCCGACTTGGAGCACACAGACGGTGCCCGTGGTCCCAGGCCGGCATCCCGCCGCATCGGGGCCGCCCCTCTGCAAACGCAGCCCTCACTCGGAACGTGCTGTGCCTGCCATCTCTGGTCTTGTGTGGCAGCCCCAGGGTCACCCAGGTGGTCGGCGAGCCTGGGTCAGCCCACGACCACCTCCCCACCCTGAGCTGGAGTGGAGCCCCCACCACAGGCCTGGGCGTGTGTCCCGTGGAGCCACGCTGCCCTCCACCCTGCCTTCCCCGTGTCCCTCCCCCCTGCAGTGACCCCTTGCCATGCACCCAGACTCTGAATCCTGCATTACTCTTCCTGTCTTCTCCCCAAAACCACAGCCGCTTCCCACTGCACTGACCACGGACACTCCACGGCACAGCTCCGTGACGGCAGCTCCACGGGGCTCTTCGTCCACGCTCTTCCAGGGGTGGACGGGAGATTCTCACACACACACACACCCTGGAGGCCCCCGCCTTCTTCCACGTCTGTTTGCGACGGAGCCATGTCCCACCAGGACTCCCCTTAGAGGACCTGTGAGATTCCAGTCTTTCTGGTCCCTGGCTCCACCCCAGAGGGCACCAGACCCTGGCCCCCACCCCGACACGGGGCAGTGCCCTCTGCCCAGTGCCTTTGAGAAAGTGCACGAGACGGCGAGAACTCAGCGCTTCCGGGCCAAGGGGGTCCGTGTGCACCCCACACACCAGCTGCCTCAGGGGGCCGCGCTCGTCTCACAAGCAGAGCTTGTCCTGCCCACCCACGCGTCGGCCCATCTGTCACTACGTTTGGGGGTCTTCAAGAAGCTCACGGCCAGCATGGATTACGGAAAAGCTGTGCGTGGATTTATACCAGAATAGACTTCTAACTCCATCTCCCCTGGATATCTCTGTACGCAGTTTTTCCTGCTTCTACCTTCACATTTGCAGAGTCACCAGCGTGTTTTCCATCTGGCTGTTAGGGGAGAGGGGCGGGAGAGGCTCCTCCTGCAAGGATGCAGACGTGAGCAGGGGCGTGGGCCGCCCGTGCCTCGTTCTGGACCATTGAGGCGCCACGGACAGCCGGTGCCACCCCGGTGAAGACCCCGCTCCCACTTCTCCCCTGCAGCCCACAGGGGAGGCCAGCGGCAGGCCGGGGGAGGGGGCGTGTGTTTGGGTTTACGAGGACCAGAGCTGCCGAGTGGCCGTGCAGTTGTGTGCGCGGATTGTTCTGGAAGCACTGTGCACCTGAATCACGGCCTCGTCCGCACAGAGGGCTGCTGGACCTCGGGGCCACTGCTTGTTTTCTTGGCACAAAACCACATCCTCTGGGTCTCTCACTCCATCACCCCTCCTGCCTGAGATGTACACGGTGCAGACCCCCGGGTCACACCCATCCAGTGGTCTCCACAGCCAGGAGCTGAGGCAACCATGAGCCAGCAGCTGGGGGCAAGGCGGCCCACACAGCCCTGTGTGTTTGCCCAAGAACTGGCTGGGCAGGGCAGGGCTGGGCAGGGCAGAGCTGCACACTGAGGGCAGGGCAGGGCAGGGCTGGGCAGGGCGCGGCTGCACACCCAGGGCTGGCATCTGTCGCTGCAAACCGGTAATTCTCAGAGGACAGAGCCGGAGGCAAGGAGGGCACAGGTCACAGCCCGCCCCTCCCGATGGCCCACCCCAGGCGTCCACGGCGCCAGCCCGAGCGAGCGGCAGAGCAGGACGCCTCGGGCCGCGCCTACAGGGCAGTGCAGAGTTCCTGGGACGCGGAGCTGAAACTTGGTTTTGGTGCAGGTGATGTTGCAATCCATGCGTAAGAGAGGTCTTCGGAAAACTTCATCAAAAACACGTTCTTGTGAAAACCCTAAAGGATTTCAACTTTTTTGCAACAAAAGCAGCATTTTCAGTTCCATTTCCTTTCAGAGTCTCTGAACGACCCCGGGATGTCCCCGTCTCCGAGCACCTGGACTGTCCAGGACGTGGCTCCTAAAGCAGACGTTTCTGGAAGTAACCATGCAGCTACGGTCTCACGGTTACACAGGCCTTTCACTTTTTTTATTTGTTTCCATTTTATCTGAAAGGCAGAGAGAGTTCCCACCTGCCGGCTCATTCCCCCGAGGCCCACAGCGGCCAGGGCCGGGCCAGGCTGAAGCTGGGAGCCTGGAGCCCCACCCTGGTCTCCCGCGTGGGGGCGGGGCCTAGGCCCCTGGGCCACCCTCCACGGCTTCCCAGCCGCACTCACAGGACACTGGCTCAGGAGCAGCCGGGACCTGCACCACTCGCCCAATATGGGGCCCGGATGTCCCGAGCGGTGACGAAACCCCGAGCCACAGGCCGGCACACCTGGGGTTGCGTGTTCAGGGTGGTCAGAGTGCGTTTCTGCAACAGCGGCCGTCCCTCTCAGAGCCACCGAGCCAGTCCCACAGGGAGTGAGAGTGGAAGGGCCCAACACGGCCACGCCTGCGGTGCAGACAACTCGTGCACACGCACCCACACACACGTGTACACACGTGCAAGCACACGCACACGCCAGGCCACGGCACTCGCTCGCTCGGCACCGGCGGCCCCTGCAGGGTGAGGACAAGGCTCGGGGGTGACAGCAGTTTCTCCATCCTCGTGGGACGTCCCGGTCTTCTCCACGAGCAGGAAGATCAAGGCCCAGCCGCTGGACACCTCACCAGCACACAGCCCAGACGACCGCTCGCGTGCCTGACACCATGGAACCTCCGAGTTTCCACGCTGGCCTCCTGTGGGCTGGCGATGAGACGGTCCCCAGGGCACCTCGGCCAGGCCCGGGGAACACAGAGACCTCGCAGGGTCCCGGGTCCCCGTGGCCATCCTTCCCCGCGCCTCCATCACCAGCACACCCAGGCCGACGCCAGGACGGGGCTGGCCCGGGCTCTCGGCCCACCTGGGCCTCGCTGCTGCACCTGGGGGAACGTGGCTGCCGGCCCCTGGACGCCGGGAAAGACGCAAGCGGCAGTGTCGTCTGAAGACCGGCCGGCGACACACGCCCCTCCAGGCCGGCAGAGGCATCCCCACAGCACTTCCCGAGCCCCCCGCCGACGCCCATGTTCCAAGATGACGGCCCCGGCAGCGAGGGCCCTGCAGGACAGGGTTTTCTGGGCCACCCCGGGCGCAGGGCGGCACTGCAGCCGCTCACCGTTCAGGAAGGACCTCGCCCTGGCCGAATGACCGGCACCCGAGCAACGGTCCTCCGTCTCCCAGCCACCCCCGCGAAGGCCCAGCCGCCTGGACGTCCACCGTCTCCCAGTCTCCCGTCCACACTCTCAGGCGGCAGCGGTATCTCTCTGGCATCAAAACCCACACCGGAGCTTCCAGATCTCAAAAAGCCAACGGCAACAGCGAGGGCGGCACACACGCGTCAGACTCGCCAAAGACAACCGAGAGGACCGTTTTGTGACTTAAGAAAAATAACGAGTTTAATGATTCCAACAACGCAGCGCGAACACTGTAGCAGTCGACACCAGGACATGGTCTGTGACAGCAAGGAGGGGCTGCTCCATGCCGTCCAAGGTCCCCGAGGTGGAGAGAATGATTGGCATGGACAGAGTCCAGGACAAGCCCAGGCAGGTGCCCGGGGCCCGGGAAGTCCCGGATGCTACATCTCTACGCCGGTTCCAAGAGGAAGTGCTTCCCACGTGCAGGGAGAGACGCCCGCCCGGCCTCACTTGCCGCAGGGACAGCTGTGGGCCACACACCCCTGCCCGTCCACGCCAGCTCCTCCCCTTCCGGAGGTCACTGGGCGACAGGCACAGGGCCGCGCACCAGAGGGCAGCCCTCCCTGCAGACCCGTCTCTGATCCAGGAGGCGCTGGGCCCACGGCCGCCACGGTGAGCGCGGCTCAGCTCAGGGGAGGCTTTACACGGACCGGCCCTCCTCCCCGGTTAAGGCAGGCTCTGGAGGGGCCCACCCCGGCCACAGACCACAGCTGACGGCTGGCAGAGGCACGGGGGGCGGGGCAGTTGTTCCTGAGTTAACGCCTGCTGGGCACAGCGGCTCTGCCGGCACACAGCCCCCGCCTCTGCCGCACGTCCTGGGCAACACCAGAAAGCCGCTTGGGAGAGCAGCTCACCAAAAGACAAGACAGACAGGTAGAAAACGCCAACACAGAGCGCTGGCGACTCGGGTTAGGGGCCGCGCAGCCGCAGGGCTGGGGCAGGAGAAGGTGCCCTCGTCAGCAGGGGTGCGGGGACAGAACCAACCCCCAGGCTGCCGGGTCAAAGGCAGGGCTCAGCAGGCGCAGTCACGCGGTCTCGTCCGCTGTCACACAGGTCTCTAGAGACACGACAACTGCTCTGCGGGAGGTTCCGTCATCTCCGACACAGGAGGGAAAGGCCGGCCAGGCCCTGGGTCACCACTGCTTATTGCCAAGGGAGAGGGGACAGCCGGCCGGGAGCGCCCACAGCCTCCCAGGCCCAAGGCCCGCAGAGCTGGGCGAGGCCGGCTCCCTGCCCTGCCCGCCCCGGTGGGGCCTCTGGGCTGCAGTCACTGAGCCGCACTGGGCTGTGTATTGCTTTGCTTCTGCCGAGGGGACGGCTCGCACGGGCGGGGCTGTGCCCAGTCAGCCTGGAGGGAGAGCCCGCCCTTGGGAGCAGCTCCCAGCGTCGCGGCCAGGCCGGCTGCCTCCCTCTGCTGGGGCCACAATAAATAACACATTCTATTTACAAGTGCTGGAACTCTCGGGGGAGGATGGAACCGTGCAGCGTGGAGTGGTCAGACCGGCCACAGAAGAGCCCGGGAGCCCACGGGGCGTGGGGGCCGGGTCTCTGGGCGGCCGCTCCGCGGGCTTGCAGCGCCTGCGCACAGGGTCTGAGGTCAGGCTGTGGGCGCACGGCAGGGGTGCAGGCCGCCAGGAAGGCGTGTGGGGAGGGAGTCGCAGCACGCAGGTCCGCGGTCGGGGGCAGGAGGTGCAGGGCACGCGTGTCCGTCACATCCCAACAGTCTGGGAAGCCGGGCTCTGCACTGGTTCTGCACTTACGGCAGGAGGCGGTGCCGGGGGCCCTGGGCGCCTGCGCCTCCCGAGTGCGGCCCGCTGCGGCCGGCCCTCAGAGGTTGGTCTCGTCCCAGGCCGGGTCGTTCAGTGTCTTCAGCACCTTGCGCACCAGCTTCTCCAGGTCCCGGCGGGCCCGCTGCTCCTCCTCCAGGGACTTCTTCATCTTCTTGTTGTCCTGGGGGCCGGGCACACCACAGCGCTCAGCCTCAGCCACCAGCCGCACGCTCGGGGCCGGGGCCTCGGCGGGTGAAACCCGGCCGGGGCTGCCCTTCCCCGCACGCACTCTCGGGGACCGGGGCCTCGGCAGTTGAAACCCAGCCGGGGCTGCCCGAGGCCTAGTCCACGCAGCACGACGATGTGGTGGACAGCTCTGGCCCCGGCACCCCCCGAGGACAAGGCCCTCAGTCACCAACGCGAGGGGCAGGGGCGGCCACGAGCCCGCCTGTGCGGCTAAGCTGGGCCCCACGCGGCACTGAAACGCGCCTGGAGCACACAGAGCTGGGCCGGATGCTGGGGCTGAGACCTGCCGGGTCACACCGGGCGGGGAGCGGCCGGGAATGCCATGGACGTCCCTGGGAACGGCTGACCACAGGGACCCTGTACCCCGGCCCCGGCGTCGCTGCCGCCTTCACCTCCCCTACCCCTCCCTCTCCAGGTTCTGCAGGGAACCCAGGCCGTGTGCACACATCAAATGCACACACGTACACACAGAGACCACACATGCACACACATGTGCACACAGCGCATGCATGCACACACATGTGAACACACCAGAGACCACACAACCACATGTACACACATGCACACACGTTCAGACCACACACGTGTGAACACACCAGAGACCACACACAACCACATGTACACACATGCACACATTCAGACCACACGCGTGTGAACACAGGCCACACATGCACACATGCAGACCACACGTGTACATGCCACATTCACACACATGTACACACATGTACACACATGTGCACGCTGCACACACCACACAGAGACCACACACGTGCAGGCACCATACATGTGAAAACACCACACGTGAACACACACCACAGACCACACATGCACACACCCCACACATGCACATCACACACCCCACTCATGTACACACCACACACGCGCACACATGTGTACACATGCACACACCACACATATACACATCAATACCACCCCTGGCCAGTGTGACACATGCTGCTGACTGGCCCATGTGCCCGCACAGACGAATCAGGGACCTCATGGAGTTTTCGGGGGCAGGATCTGAGTTCTAAATTATCCCAACAGATGGCTTCCGACAGCACAGACCTCGGCTCAAAAGTGTCCCCACGGGCCACGCCCCAGCTCCCACCGGGCCCAGCCACACGCCCAGAGCCACCGCTGCACTGGTCGGATGCGACAGACACCATCTCCTCGTGGTCCTTTTTTTAATCTGCAGAGGGCTTTTCCTTTTTTTCCCATTGAACACACACACACACACACATGTGTGCGCACACGAAACCAACAGTGACATACCTGTCTCAGTTCTTGGACTTCATCCTTCAACGCGTACACAGTGTCCACTAGGCTCCTGTGACAGAAGAAGAATGAGGACATCAGCCTGGCTGGGGGGGCAGAGGCCTGGGGAGACCCCTCCAGCACCCGGCCCGCACTGGCCCTCTGCCCCCCAGCCCCCTGCCAGCACTGGCCCTCGGCCCCCCAGCCCCCTGCCAGCACTGGCCCTCCGCCCCCCAGCCCCTGACCGCACTGGCCCTCTGCCCCCCAGCCCCCTGCCAGCACTGGCCCTCGGCGCCCCAGCCCCTGCCCGCACTGGCCCTCCGCCCCCCAGCCCCTGCCCACACTGGCCCTTTGCCCCCCAGCCCCTGCCCACACTGGCCCTTTGCCCCCCAGCCCCCTGCCGGCACTGGCCCTCCGCCCCCCAGCCCCTGCCCGCACTGGCCCTCCGCCCCCCAGCCCCAGCCCGCACTGGCCCTCGGCCCCCCAGCCCCCTGCCGGCACTGGCCCTCCGCCCCCCAGCCCCAGCCCGCACTGGCCCTCGGCCCCCCAGCCCCCTGCCGGCACTGGCCCACCGCCCCCCAGCCCCAGCCCGCACTGGCCCTCCGCCCCCGAGCCGCACGGGCAGTGGGAACGCGGAGACGTCTTACTTCTCTTCCATCACCGTCTGGCCGTTACTTTTAGTTTCTTCCACTATAATTTTCTCTTCTTCTGGAAGCAAAACTTGTGGAGCAGATTCTTTGCGTGAACCTAGGGTAGGGAAAATAAAAAACAGAACGGCTCAGGTGAACGCCACGCGGCAGCTGGGCGACACAACTTGACTATACAGCATGACTCAGACGCTACCTCCAGCAGCTGCGCCCCCAGACCCCCGAGACAGGCGGCTCTCCGCACGCCCTTCCCGCACCCACACACGCCGCCCTTCCGGGAGTCACATGCATAAACCTGCGTCCCTGAACCTCACTAGGGGCCTTCCACAGGCTCTGACCACAAGTGTCTGCATAGGTCACAAATTCCGAGACATCACCTTCTCCCAGGAATCTCGGGACGACGCACGAGACCCGACAACACCCCCTCCCCCCCATGCCTGCCACTCAGCACCCGGCAGTGGCACACTGCACACTACAGACAACATCACAGCGGTGTCTAAAAAGGCGACACTCGGCAGCCGGTTTTTAACACAAACTTTATTATTCCCGGACACATACACATTCTTCTACATGAAAGACGCTGTTCACAACACCGGAGGATCCCAGCGCCGGCACCCGAGCACGCAGCCTGCCCGGGCCGACCTCGGGCAGGCTCCGGTGCGGATCTGTGCCGCTGAGACGCACTGGGAGACTCTGACACTCATTTGCAAAGTGGAGGGAAGAAAACCAAGTCTTAGTAAGAGGCAAGGAAGCAGCGGTTTTTTATTTCAGCTGTGAGACCACACACACCGTCCGCAGTTCTGAAACACAAGGCCAGACACAGGCTGGAGGGAAGACGGCGTCTCCTGCGGGAGGCGGCCCGGGGCTGTGATCCACGCTGCTCCAGGAAAAAGCACTCACAGGCGGAGACTCGCTCTGCTCCTCCAGGCTGCCTCATGCTCCCGGCGTCGGACGCCGAGGGCGCTGTGCAGACACGGCTTCACGGCCACGAGCATCCCCCGCGGCTGCGGTCAGCCTGCTCTCCTCGGAACGCAAGCAGCGTCAGACTCCCACAGTGGCACCAAGGGACAGGGACTGGCCCTGGCAGGTCTCCCGGCCCCACCCTCCCGACAC